TAAACCGTTGAAATTCAGCATACGAGCTAAGTATCTTACTTTTTTCGTAGAGATCCTTAATTTAAAAAATATTAGTGTACATATTTTGTTTTTAGTTCTATCATTAAAGACCAAATATGGACTTCACAATACAAGCTTAGATCATAGATGGCCTTGCTGAGGAACTTAAATTATTACAATTACTGTGATTGATGTTAATTTACTTATAATCTGTTTGAAATGGTATTTTACCTTACATTTAGTGAAGTATAAAAGTAAAAATGTTATCTTTGTAATAAAAACTTCAACATTGTATGTTTGGTCCAACGCCTCTACTCATATTATACTAAGAGATAGTAAAGAACAAAATTAAAGAAAAAACAAAAAAAACGGAAATTCACTAGGCCACAATTTTAAACCTATGTTACCATTTTACAGTGGACCATTACGACTTGAAAAAGAAAATTTTTTTCTAACTATATACACACCTACTCATATACAAATACAATCATTCGCCTCCCATCCATTTACGCCAAATTTTTTTTCTTTTTTTATTTTTTTATCAACTGTATACACATCTACCGATATATACATACATTTATAAGCCACCCTTTTATATATCCTAATTACTTTTTTTTTTTTTTTTTTTTTTTTTACTAAACTAAGTACGCTAGAATTAGTTATTTACATTAATTGATAAAGCTACCAGTATTTTGAATTGTCTCTTAGTTTTTCGTTTAGGTCGTATTTTGATAATGCGGTGCTATATTTAATTACTGGTGCGCTTCTGTTATCATGTTGGATTTTTCTGGTTTCTCTTATCTCTAGACCAATAATTCAATATTGGTACGTTATTGACATTTTAGATTAAATTTGGCCTATCTAATAAGGCAAATAATTCAGGTAGCTTCATTCCACTTCTTTTACACTTTTCCAAATATCGTATATCTATATTAATTAAATCGTCTTCAATTAACACATAATTTCTATTATTTTTACAATCAGCACAATAGTTTCTGATTATTTTTAACATAAATATATTGATTCTGGGCGATTTTGTTTTGTTTTAAAATATTTTGTTTTAAAAGAATCTTTGGTATTACTATTCAGGGTAACGATATACGCTTAGACAGGCCCTTAGGCATTTTCTCTCAAACACTCTTAACCTCTTCATGGTGTAGGCAGCCTAGTACCTTGCCCACTATGCCAAGAGGATCCGGTTTCTTCTACTGATATTAATTGATTTGGTTTGATAATATGTTGTAGTAATTGACAAATTATTCATTCGATTAACTGTTTTTTAACGATTTAAATTATTTTGTGCTCTGTTCTCTGAGATTTCCCTATTACATCCTAATCCTCATGTTGACTTAAAGAAATCGCTTTTTTTAGATGACCTTATTGTGTGCCTTATAATTTCGTCAAAGCAAAAATTGTAAGCACTCATGAGTCGTCTAGGATTGAGTGGCTGCAGAGTGTCAACAGAAAGTAACGCTAAATAATGTAAATGAAGTTTATGGCATACTTTTTGCTTACTTTTTGCCTAAAAAGGGTTGCCAACATACAACTCAAACGTTGTACACACTTTGAATTAAGAATAAACTTTTCGACAGTATGCCATAAAATTTATTTACATTATTCATTTTTTTCTGCTGTCGTTAGAATTAAGAAATTAAGAAAGTAAGGCTTTTAAGAAAGTTACACTGTTAAAAAAAGTGCCTCAAACTAGGGTTTTCTATAAGTACAGAGTGCACAGTAGGATCCATAAATTTTTAAAGGTGGCAAAGTAAATTTTATTATTCGCATACGTCGACGACTAATTGCATACACTGTATCGTTCCGAAATGGGTACAGCACGTGAACTGTCAAAGTATAATGTTTTTCAATTGTTATTAATGTATATAAAAATGTATTAATTTATGTAAATCAACAAAAAATATTCTGTAAAAGTAAAAGAATTTTTTATTTGAGTCGAAACAACGAAAAGAATTAAGGCAATCGTAAGAAAATATGCTACTAATAGTGATAAAATACTTGCTATAAATACGTCATTAACATTTTTCAATCGTATTAAAATAGACTCTTTCAAGTAAAATTGGTTGCGATTCGGTCAAATCCAAAACATCGAAGTTAAGGTTTAAATTTTAAATTTCAAAGAGTTTTTATTAAAAATAAATAAGTTAATAAAATTTTAAAACTCGAATTTCGAATAGAAATTTTCGAATTTTTTACACAAGGTATTACTTTGCGGTAAACAAACCAATCATAGTATCCTTTGGTACATTAACAAATAAAAAGCAAATTATCGATAGACATTTTCAATATGGTACCTACAAAAAAGATACACTCAAAATTAAAAAAGAAAATCTGAAAAATATTTAGCATTTGTTTAGTAACAAACAGAGATGGTGCGTTTATTCGTAAACCTATTTTTCTATGTAATCTGGTCAGAATAAATAGCAATTTCAACAATTTTGATCNAAAATCAAAAAATGTGCAAATACAGAAAAAAATACAATAAAATAAATGAAAAAATAAAAAAAAGAAGATTAAATAAATAGTAAACTACTAAATGCAATCAAAGAAATTAAAAAATAAAGGAAATTTTAAAAAATAAAAAAAATCACAGGAAACAAATCAGTGAATATTAATAGGTCATGGGACCCACAGTAAGAACGTAGTTTTTTAAACATGACCTTAGTATAAAGACACAAAATTTCTCAGGTAACAAGGGGGTAGTGGGACTCGTAGAGGAACGAACCTCTATAAAAATTCGTACTGCTTTTATTTAGTTTACTAAAACAAAAACTCAAAAACAAATATTAAAAAAACATAAGAACAAATTAGTTAAGTACTCATAATTATTGAACTTTAATTTCATTATGTGTGTATACGCTTATTGAGAGCGTGAAAGAAAGAGACGAAGGCCTCGTGGCATCGCAACGCGGGGGGGTCTCTCCCAAAAGGGCCCCCATATTTACAATTAATTTAATTATAAGCGTCATTTTTCCGGTCTTCTTTTCTGATTCGCCTTCATCTTCATATTTGCTGTAAAGAAAAAATACAAGTTGTTTCCTATCATCAAAGACTTCGTGTTAAGCGTTTTATTTTCCCCTACTCTCTACAGGCGTTTGTCAACGATAACGGGTACGTTTCCCCCCCGCGACCTTGATAACAGTCCATCGTGACCTAGAGGCTCGAAACAAAACATTGGTAGCAGAGCGTGGTTGCCTGTACGAGAGCAACGGAACTCGACAAACACGATAAAATCTTCGATAACGGAGCTGTGCAGCTAGCAGGGACAGCAGGGCTTCCTGGTGGCATCGCAACGAGCAGCTTCTGTTGTCTACTCGTCTCATCAGCTTCACTACCAGTTTCTCCGAGAGCCATTCTTCGGCTACGATAAGTAGAGCAAAACGGAAAAAGGTCTGTGAGTAGACAATTATCTCAACTTGTTCGGCAAATTTCGTTTTTGAAGGCTTCAAGGCCACATTCCGATCGTGCTATATCGAGCGAGTACGCCGATACATCTAGTCGCTTACTAGGAGAGCGTTTGTTTACTAGCGCGCTCGCTTATCTCTGTTATTCGCTGTAGTCGCTTGGCCTTGCAGTGAGCCGCGATTCACAAGCATACTTCTCGAGTCGTTGTTTTGATCGCGTTGAACGCTTACGTCTCTAAGCAGCATGGATAAGCTTCACCGATCCCAAACAAAATTGACGACGAATATAACAAATTTCTACGACAACTCAACCGTCAAGGTCACCGTAGAAAAACAAACTCTGTCACATTTCGAGACGTGACTAGGTATTCTCGAGAACTATTGGTCAACTTTTATTTCTCGACACGAGGACTTGCTTGAGTACGAAGAGCAGCTAGCCGGCGACAGCTACTTCAAGGACAATGTATACTCTCTAGTTGAGCTGGCGTATAGCGACGCGAAAGCGCGCCTCTTGACGCGAATTTCGGAGCTCAGGGGGCTACGTCGACGACCTATTTGCTGGAGCGGACACGCTGGACCAGGTGCGCCAGCGGCGCGACGAGACGATTCAGCTGCTGTCATCCGCCAGCATGGCGCTAGGCTAATGGGCAAGCAACAACTCTTTCATCCTTGAGGGGCTTGAAGTAATGGCGGCTAAGGCCATTAACCTCAAGCAGGACGACGCCGTGTCAACACTGGGCCTGCAGTGACTGCCCAGCTCGGACTCCTTCACCTTCAAACCAAAGGGGATGCTCGTCGGTCATGAAATCACCAAGCGCATCGTGCTGTCAGAGATTGTGCGACTCTTCGACCCTCTTGGCTGGATAGCTCCGATAATCGTAAGTGCAAAGATTGTTTTACAGGATATTTGGCTCCTCAGCCTCGGGTGGGATGAGCTGCTGCCCGACGACCTCCAGTCACGCTGGACGCGCTTTCGGAGTGAGATGCAACAGATCTCGCTCATCAGCCTCCCGCGGTGGCTGGGTGGCCTCGAGGCCGAGGAATGGCACCTGCATGGATTCGCTGACACCTCAAAGCGAGCTTATGCAGCAGCGATTTATGCGGTGTACCCGAATTGCTCTGCTCAGCTCCTCTTTGCAAAAACAAAGTTGGCGCCCACCAAAGTTCAGTCGCTGCCTCGACTCGAACTGTGCGGCGCAGTGCTGGCCGTACGGTTGGCCAAGCACGTGTCGGACGCTTCACCAATCAAGCCGAGTCGTATCCACCTCTGGTCAGACTCACGCGTGGTGCTGGACTGGCTGAAGACTCATCCGGCCCACTGGCCAACCTTCGTCGCCAATAGAACGAGCGAAATTCTCTCCGAGTTGCCAGCAGCTACGTGGAGGCGCGTCAAATCCTTCGACAACTCCGCAGATTGCGCCATCCGAGGCCTCGCGCCTTCGGCGCTTGCTCAATTTTCTCTTTGGTGGCACGGACCCGTGTGGCTCACGCAGGAGCAAGAGAAGTAGCCTACTAAAGCTACAGACGCCACTCCCAACGACCAGCCGCAGGTCGAAGACCCTCACCAGCGGACCCTTCATGGCGGGGTCCAACTGATGCTGCCGCACTTGCGTCGTTCTGTTTGGATTTTACGGGGCCAGCGCCTAGCAGTCGGAGTACTCCACTGCTGTGCTAAGTGCACGCGCCATGCTGCACGGAGCCCTAGCCAACTCATGGGCCAACTGCCGACTGCACGAGTCTCCCCGTCTCGTCTGTTCTCGCACACGGGTGTGGACTTCGCTGGACCGATTCCCGTCCTGTTTTCAAGAGGACGAGGCGCCAAAACAACGAAAGGCTACATCGCCGTCTTTATTTGCACTGTCACGCGGGCAGTTCACCTCGAGGTAGCCTCTGACCTTTCAACCCATGCTTTTCTTGCAGCCTACTTTCGTTTCACTGCACGCCGTGGAGTTTGCGCTGTGCTGTACTCGGACAACGCCACGAACTTCAATGGCGCAGCTTCCGAGCTTCAGCGCATGCTGGCCAGCTTTTTATTTGCTTCAAACATCTCCAAGAAGCTGGCAGCTCAAGGGACGGACTGGTCCTTGATCCCCCCACGAGCTCCTCATTTTGGTGGGCTTTGGGAAGCCGCCGTCCGAAGTGCTAAGCATCACCTCAAGCGCGTGATTTGCGAGACCAGGCTCACCTTCGAGGAACTGTCGACGTTGTGCGCCAAAATTAAGGCCTGCCTTAACTCAAGGCCCCTGTGCGCCTTGAGCAATGAAGTTACGGGCGAGCTCGCCCTCACTCCGGCACATTTCCTGGTCGGCTCTGCGCTGCTCTCTCACCCTGAGCCATATGACGAAGCGCAGAGGCCAATGTCACCTTCCAACCGCTGGAAGCTACTTGTCAACCTTCGTAACTCATTTTGGTCAAGCTGGAGAAAGGAGGTCCTGCTTCAGCATCTCAAGCGATGCAAGTGGCAGACTCCTCGAACGAATTTACAAGAAGGAGACGTCGTTCTCGTGCGTGATGAACTCGCGCCCCCAGCCACCTGGCCCTTGGGTGTGGTAATTGCCACGCAGGCCGGGGCGGATAACCTTGTGCGCGTAGCCACGGTGAAGACGGCTGCCTCGACGCTTCCGCGACCAATTGTGAAGCTTGTTAAACTGTTAACTCAACCCGAACTCGAGAAGTGCTATTCCGAGCAATCAAAATAAACTCAGTGCTAATCTATAGTTTATTCACTTACTAACCCATTAATTAATTTGAGTTTATGTTTGTTTGTTTTTTTTTCAATTGCAAAATTTGTAATTCCTTCATGTTCATGTCAGCTCGTGGCCAGGGTAAGCTACTAACACTATTGTATAGCTGCGCTGGCTATCACCGTAGCAGTAGGTTTAGCTCTATCCGCTTACAGGCTTTTGTTCTATCTCGCTTTTTTTCAATTCATTTTGACGCTGTTGCCTCAAGGTGGGCGGTATGTTCGCGTATGTGTGTATACGCTTATTGAGAGCGTGAAAGAGAGAGACGAAGGCCTCGTGGCATCGCAACGCGGGGGGTCTCTCCCAAAAGGGCCCCCCTACCTTAATTGTCGCCACGTTGTCCAGTCTCTCTAGACAAACCGCGAGCGAGTCAGTTGCAAAAAGAGCGTTAGAACGAGCGTGACTTAAGTACTCGTCTGCTTCGATCGGCATGTTTTTGGTCTTTATCGCACTGACCAAGCAACGCACGCTGGCCAAGGAGAGCCTTTCTCTATCTCGGTCGTCTAAGCACAGTCCATATTTACAATTAATTTAATTATTAGCGTCATTTTTCCGGTCTTCTTTTCTGATTCGCCTTCATCTTCATATTTGCTGTAAAGAAAAAATACAAGTTGTTTCCTATCATCGAAGAGTTCGTGTTGAGCGTTTTATTTTCCCCCACTCAAATCTTCGATAACGGAGCTGTGCAGCTAGCCGGGACAGCAGGGCTTCCTGGTGGCATCGCAACGAGCAGCTTCTGTTGTCTACTCGTCTCATTGGCTTCACTACAGCTTTCTCCGAGAGCCATTCTTCGGCTACGATAAGTAGAGCAAAACGGAAAAAGGTCTGTGAGTAGACAATTATCTCAACTTGTTCGGCAAATTTCGTTTTTGAAGACTTCAAGGCCACATTCCGATCGTGCTATATCGAGCGAGTACGCCGATACATCTAGTCGCTTACTAGGAGAGCGTTTGTTTACTAGCGCGCTCGCTTATCTCTGTTATTCGCTGTAGTCGCTTGGCCTCGCAGTGAGCCGCGACTCACAAGCATACTTCTCGAGTCGTTGTTTTGATCGCGTTAAACGCTTACGGCTCTAAGCAGCATGGATAAGCTTCACCGATCCCAAACAAAATTGACGACAAATATAACAAATTTCTACGACAACTCGACCGTCAAGGTCGCCGTAGAAAAACAAACTCTGTCACATTTCGAGACGTGACTAGGTATTCTCGAGAACTATTGGTCAACTTTCATTTCTCGACACGAGGACTTGCTCGAGTACGAAGAGCAGCTAGCCGGCGATAGCTACTTCAAGGACGATGTATACTCTCTAGTTGAGCTGGCGTATAGCGACGCGAAAGCGCGCCTCTTGACGCAAATTTCGGAGCTCAGGGGCCTACGTCGACGACCTATTTGCTGGAGCGGACACGCTGGACCAGGTGCGCCAGCGGCGCGACGAAACGATTCAGCTGCTGTCATCCGCCAGCATGGCGCTAGGCAAATGGGCAAGCAACAACTCTTTCATCCTTGAGGGGCTTGAAGTAATGGCGGCTAAGGCCATTAACCGCAAGCAGGACGACGCCGTGTCAACACTGGGCCTGCAGTGGCTGCCCAGCTCGGACTCCTTCACCTTCAAACCAAAGGGGATGCTCGTCGGTCATGAAATCACCAAGCGCATCGTGCTGTCAGAGATTGTGCGACTCTTCGACCCTCTTGGCTGGATAGCTCCGATAATCGTAAGTGCAAAGATTGTTTTACAGGATATTTGGCTCCTCAGCCTCGGGTGGGATGAGCTGCTGCCCGACGACCTCCAGTCACGCTGGACGCGCTTTCGGAGTGAGATGCAACAGATCTCGCTCATCAGCCTCCCGCGGTGGCTGGGTGGCCTCGAGGCCGAGGAATGGCACCTGCATGGATTCGCTGACACCTCAAAGCGAGCTTATGCAGCAGCGATTTATGCGGTGTACCCGAATTGCTCTGCTCAGCTCCTCTTTGCAAAAACAAAGTTGGCGCCCACCAAAGTTCAGTCGCTGCCTCGACTCGAACTGTGCGGCGCAGTGCTGGCCGTACGGTTGGCCAAGCACGTGTCGGACGCTTCACCAATCAAGCCGAGTCGTATCCACCTCTGGTCAGACTCACGCGTGGTGCTGGACTGGCTGAAGACTCATCCGGCCCACTGGCCAACCTTCGTCGCCAATAGAACGAGCGAAATTCTCTCCGAGTTGCCAGCAGCTACGTGGAGGCGCGTCAAATCCTTCGACAACTCCGCAGATTGCGCCATCCGAGGCCTCGCGCCTTCGGCGCTTGCTCAATTTTCTCTTTGGTGGCACGGACCCGTGTGGCTCACGCAGGAGCAAGAGAAGTAGCCTACTAAAGCTACAGACGCCACTCCCAACGACCAGCCGCAGGTCGAAGACCCTCACCAGCGGACCCTTCATGGCGGGGTCCAACTGATGCTGCCGCACTTGCGTCGTTCTGTTTGGATTTTACGGGGCCAGCGCCTAGCAGTCGGAGTACTCCACTGCTGTGCTAAGTGCACGCGCCATGCTGCACGGAGCCCTAGCCAACTCATGGGCCAACTGCCGACTGCACGAGTCTCCCCGTCTCGTCTGTTCTCGCACACGGGTGTGGACTTCGCTGGACCGATTCCCGTCCTGTTTTCAAGAGGACGAGGCGCCAAAACAACGAAAGGCTACATCGCCGTCTTTATTTGCACTGTCACGCGGGCAGTTCACCTCGAGGTAGCCTCTGACCTTTCAACCCATGCTTTTCTTGCAGCCTACTTTCGTTTCACTGCACGCCGTGGAGTTTGCGCTGTGCTGTACTCGGACAACGCCACGAACTTCAATGGCGCAGCTTCCGAGCTTCAGCGCATGCTGGCCAGCTTTTTATTTGCTTCAAACATCTCCAAGAAGCTGGCAGCTCAAGGGACGGACTGGTCCTTGATCCCCCCACGAGCTCCTCATTTTGGTGGGCTTTGGGAAGCCGCCGTCCGAAGTGCTAAGCATCACCTCAAGCGCGTGATTTGCGAGACCAGGCTCACCTTCGAGGAACTGTCGACGTTGTGCGCCAAAATTAAGGCCTGCCTTAACTCAAGGCCCCTGTGCGCCTTGAGCAATGAAGTTACGGGCGAGCTCGCCCTCACTCCGGCACATTTCCTGGTCGGCTCTGCGCTGCTCTCTCACCCTGAGCCATATGACGAAGCGCAGAGGCCAATGTCACCTTCCAACCGCTGGAAGCTACTTGTCAACCTTCGTAACTCATTTTGGTCAAGCTGGAGAAAGGAGGTCCTGCTTCAGCATCTCAAGCGATGCAAGTGGCAGACTCCTCGAACGAATTTACAAGAAGGAGACGTCGTTCTCGTGCGTGATGAACTCGCGCCCCCAGCCACCTGGCCCTTGGGTGTGGTAATTGCCACGCAGGCCGGGGCGGATAACCTTGTGCGCGTAGCCACGGTGAAGACGGCTGCCTCGACGCTTCCGCGACCAATTGTGAAGCTTGTTAAACTGTTAACTCAACCCGAACTCGAGAAGTGCTATTCCGAGCAATCAAAATAAACTCAGTGCTAATCTATAGTTTATTCACTTACTAACCCATTAATTAATTTGAGTTTATGTTTGTTTGTTTTTTTTTCAATTGCAAAATTTGTAATTCCTTCATGTTCATGTCAGCTCGTGGCCAGGGTAAGCTACTAACACTATTGTATAGCTGCGCTGGCTATCACCGTAGCAGTAGGTTTAGCTCTATCCGCTTACAGGCTTTTGTTCTATCTCGCTTTTTTTCAATTCATTTTGACGCTGTTGCCTCAAGGTGGGCGGTATGTTCGCGTATGTGTGTATACGCTTATTGAGAGCGTGAAAGAGAGAGACGAAGGCCTCGTGGCATCGCAACGCGGGGGGTCTCTCCCAAAAGGGCCCCCCTCCCTTAATTGTCACCACGTTGTCCAGTCTCTCTAGACAAACCGCGAGGGAGTCAGTTGCAAAAAGAGCGTAAGAACGAGCGTGACTTAAGTACTCGTCTGCTTCGATCGGCATGTTTTTAGTCTTTATCGCACTAACCAAGCGACGCACGCTGGCCAAGGAGAGCCTTTCTCTATCTTCGTCGTCTAAGCACAGTCCATATTTACGATTGATTTAATTATTAGCGTCATTTTTCCCGTCTTCTTTTCTGATTCGCCTTCATCTTCATATTTGCTGTAAAGAAAAAATACAAGTTGTTTCCTATCATCGAAGAGTTCGTGTTGAGCGTTTTATCTTTCCCTACTCTCTACAGGCGTTTGTCAACGATAACGGGTACGTTTCCCCCCCCGCGACCTTGATAACGGTCCATCGTGACCTAGAGGCTCGAAACGAAACATTATGTATTGAATTTTTTATCAACAACTATAAACAAAATTCGTTGGAGTTTTCGCAGTACTATGCCTATTAATCAAAATATTTGAATTATGTCACGAGATATATTGCAAGTAGATTTTAAGCAAAAACTAACCTATTATGTCTATTATCTTTCGAAAAATCGACAAACGACAGTAGGAATCGTTTGTTAGCCGTCTATAAACATATAAGAGAAAAAGATGAAAATGGATTTGTCGAATAGTATAGAAGTACTGATTGAATTATTTTCCTTTAATATGATTACTGTTGTAATTTTTGTATTTCGGTGATTAAAACGAGGAACTACAATATAAAAAATAATGACTTATTTTTCATAAATAAGAGTCTGTTTCATACTTAAACTTTTTTTTATTGTTTCTTTATCATTAACAAAAACATTTATGTAATGCCTACATTTCTTCTATAAAAAACACACCAAGTATCACAACTAATTCACTTACAAGCAAAATCTAAATACATTTAATTATTGTACATCTATAAGACGATTTCAGGGTACTTAGCTTTGTCCTTAAAATTAAATACATTCGTTCTTGATTTGCTACGTTTTTATCGAATTCAATAAACTACAAAATATTACAATTATACTTAAAATTTAGATTTACTCCATTTCTTGCGATAGATGATATACGCGTTACATTTAAGGCATATTCTCGTTTTTGTCAAAAAATGCTTTTCATGGGGTAAAAGGCCACGGAGGGCGTGGTTGAGCATCCCTGTATTGAGAATAAACTGAAAACTTTTTGCCATTGTTGTATAAAGTATTGGTTTTCTTAGTTTTCCTAATTTTTTTTATTTTCTTACATGGTTTTTTTAATAAATACAATATTAAGTGTCTGTGATACTTTTCAAATAAAAAAATTATGAAGCTTATGACAAATCCACTAAACAATAACACTAGCAACGGGATGACGTCGGTAGTACTTAATTGTGGAGGTGAATGATCTTTTTCGGTATCTTTTATTGGAAAATGTGAACTTTTTTCCCAAGATAGTAGACCACTTTCTCTGTATTTCTGAATGCTGAAAAAAACATTGTTATGACTTCTAATTAATAAATATTCATCCAAAAATACTTACTGATGGTTCAAAAATTTTAAGAGTGGATCTCCTTTTTTCAAACTAAAAACCAGTTTTCTTGATAGACCAAGTGGAAAAGCTAAGAGTTTGCAAGGAAACGTGTAAGTAGTTGGTTTATTAATAAAGCCAGTCGCATGAAAAACTACTTTTTCGTTGCAAACCTGGAACAGAAAGAAATTTTTAATGGTTCATAATTTAAAGAAATAAAAATATTTCTTACAACACAGATTAATAAAACAAACATGTTATATAATAAAATTCAAATTCATTATATGTCCATCAGATAGATTTACTTATTTTAATACTCGTGACAGACAAAATAATGATAGAGACGATGAATTAGTGGCTTTCAGGTAAAAGTACTTGAAAAAAGAAAATAAGTGGGTGTNATCATCGAAGAGTTCGTGTTGAGCGTTTTATTTTTCCCTACTCTCTACAGGCGTTTGTCAACGATAACGGGTACGTTTTTCCCCCGCGACCTTGATAACGGTCCATCGTGACCTAGAGGCTCGAAACGAAACATTATGTATTAAATTTTTTATCAACAACTATAAACAAAATTCGTTGGAGTTTTCGCAGTACTATGCCTATTAATCAAAATATTTGAATTATGTCACGAGATATATTGCAAGTAGATTTTAAGCAAAAACTAACCTATTATGTCTATTATCTTTCGAAAAATCGACAAACGACAGTAGGAATCGTTTGTTAGCCGTCTATAAACATATAAGAGAAAAAGATGAAAATGGATTTGTCGAATAGTATAGAAGTACTGATTGAATTATTTTCCTTTAATATGATTACTGTTGTAATTTTTGTATTTCGGTGATTAAAACGAGGAACTACAATATAAAAAATAATGACTTATTTTTCATAAATAAGAGTCTGTTTCATACTTAAACTTTTTTTTATTGTTTCTTTATCATTAACAAAAACATTTATGTAATGCCTACATTTCTTCTATAAAAAACACACCAAGTATCACAACTAATTCACTTACAAGCAAAATCTAAATACATTTAATTATTGTACATCTATAAGACGATTTCAGGGTACTTAGCTTTGTCCTTAAAATTAAATACATTCGTTCTTGATTTGCTACGTTTTTATCGAATTCAATAAACTACAAAATATTACAATTATACTTAAAATTTAGATTTACTCCATTTCTTGCGATAGATGATATACGCGTTACATTTAAGGCATATTCTCGTTTTTGTCAAAAAATGCTTTTCATGGGGTAAAAGGCCACGGAGGGCGTGGTTGAGCATCCCTGTATTGAGAATAAACTGAAAACTTTTTGCCATTGTTGTATAAAGTATTGGTTTTCTTAGTTTTCCTAATTTTTTTTATTTTCTTACATGGTTTTTTTAATAAATACAATATTAAGTGTCTGTGATACTTTTCAAATAAAAAAATTATGAAGCTTATGACAAATCCACTAAACAATAACACTAGCAACGGGATGACGTCGGTAGTACTTAATTGTGGAGGTGAATGATCTTTTTCGGTATCTTTTATTGGAAAATGTGAACTTTTTTCCCAAGATAGTAGACCACTTTCTCTGTATTTCTGAATGCTGAAAAAAACATTGTTATGACTTCTAATTAATAAATATTCATCCAAAAATACTTACTGATGGTTCAAAAATTTTAAGAGTGGATCTCCTTTTTTCAAACTAAAAACCAGTTTTCTTGATAGACCAAGTGGAAAAGCTAAGAGTTTGCAAGGAAACGTGTAAGTAGTTGGTTTATTAATAAAGCCAGTCGCATGAAAAACTACTTTTTCGTTGCAAACCTGGAACAGAAAGAAATTTTTAATGGTTCATAATTTAAAGAAATAAAAATATTTCTTACAACACAGATTAATAAAACAAACATGTTATATAATAAAATTCAAATTCATTATATGTCCATCAGATAGATTTACTTATTTTAATACTCGTGACAGACAAAATAATGATAGAGACGATGAATTAGTGGCTTTCAGGTAAAAGTACTTGAAAAAAGAAAATAAGTGGGTGTAGATCAATGTAACATTATTTTTTTTATTTAAAAAAATAAAACATTCATTAACAAAGGTGTGTTACTCAATTGTCAATTATTAAAAGTTCAGACGTTTTTTGTAATATTACTAGTTTTTGCATACAGAGGAAAGTATCCTGTCTGGTTCCAAAATTTCTGGCTTGGGAAAAAAATAGCATGTGAAGTTTAAAAAAGGTTAGTTTAGAACGTATAGGTTAAATATGTTAGAGAGCATTATTTAGTGAAATAAACATTAATGCCTTACAAAAATAAGAAAATATTATTTAATTGGTGAATTAAAAAACCTATTAGAGTACGAATATTTTCAATAAAAGTGCGAACCGAAATTGATCCGTCTAGCATTAACAAATAGTACTTTTGCAAGATTTAACTTTCTCATTGAAATTAAGTACAATGAGGAAGAGAACAGAGGCATGATGTTTTAAAAAAAGCTACTAAGGTTATGTTGGCCTACAGTAGAATTTTCTCACCCGTGTGACTCCGTAAAGAAATATCTTTCAAGTTTTGTGGATTCAAAAGTGTTTCTGCTACATTTTTTCATACGGAAATAACAATCAGTATACATGTACACTAAATGTACTAGGTACGTAGAAGAAACATGTTGATAAATACAAATTCTTACTTTAGTAAGCCAAAAACAGTTCGTTTACATAAAAGTTCAAATATTATTCAACTAGATTCACACTCTCCACTTAATCTCTTAATTTCCTTCGTTATACGGACACTGCATTGTATTTTTATAGTAATAAGGGGCTCTCCTTAACTTTTTTACTCCACAAGCTCTTATTTAAGGCTACCTCATAGAGACTGCCTGTTCCCTTACCTCTGCTATAAATTGCTATATTTTTTTCTATGTGATAACGTTAAAGAAACATGGTGAAAGGCAGAGGTGTNTCATACTTAAACTTTTTTTTATTGTTTCTTTATCATTAACAAAAACATTTATGTAATGCCTACATTTCTTCTAT